TTTTTTTTTTCAGTACTCCAAAGAAGTTTTTGATCATGTGCAGTCGTTTTCTCCTTAGTTCTCGCTATTTCTTGAAATCATTTTCAACAATGCCTGAAACTGCTATTAGTAAAAGCAAGAGTGGGAGTCTTACTGAGGAGGAAAACGCTTCAGTTTCTGGATTAGAAACACAAAGAACGACGAATATATCAAGGTTTCTCTCTGTAGATTTCTCGCAAGAGATTCTTCTCTATTTAAGCATATTGTGGCTGTTCTGGAGCTGTAATATTTGTTGAAATTTTTTCTAATTTCCAGGTTACGTGAAAGGCATCGATTAATTGCTGAAAGAAGAGTACCTCCAGTAACATATGAATGGGAGAAGGAGAAATGGGGAAAACGGTTGCGGTTTGGCAAATATGGTCTTGCAAGTGGAGTATCTCCTGCAGAGCTATGGCCTTCTGTTGAAGTATGCTAGTCAAGTCATCAAACGTAGTTCTGTCCTTTGTATTTTAATACTGTTTTTGCTGTTACACTGATATGTTCTTTGCTACGTCGTTATTCAGTCTTCAGGATTGTCAGTGTGATAGATTTTTAGAAGTTTTAGGAAATTGAAGAGGAAGAAGCGTTTGCACTCTATAAAACTTGTAGTGAAGTACAGCGTATTGTTAAAGATGAAGCTGAAGCAAGAAAAGTTGCAACTACTCAGAGGTCTGCAATATTTTCTTAATTCTACATTTCCAGCAGCTTGAGTTGATACTGCTTAGGGTTTTTCAATAATGGAATTATCTTCTATTTGTTAAAACATAAAGTGCATTCTTTCAGGTTGAAGGAATTAGCCGACAAGGAAGCAGTGTACGCAGAACGGTTGAAAAAGTATGAGACTTCGTTGCAAAAGATTGTAAAACAAAAAACTGCCGAGGAAGAGAAAATGGAAAAGAGGATTTTAGAAATCCAGGAATACTTTGGATATAGAATTGATCCGAACGACCCACGTTTTGAAGTCATGTTGGCTCAGAAGGAGGCTGAAGAAGCTAAGGTATTAATAGAAATCCAGTATAACTAATAACTATTTTGATTCAAGGTTTTTTTTTCGTTTTTTATTTGTTCACTATTCTAAAAAACATGTATTTGCAAGGTAGATACTGTCGCTGCAGTTTGATAATAGGTTTTTGGCAGATACAGTTGAGGCTGTTCGGAAAGAGAAACGATTTTTTAGTGGTCAAAGTGATGTTTTAGCTACTGATTGAATAATGTTTTAGGTAGCTAAAGAAGCAAAACGTCAGGAAAGGTTGAGGAAAACGGTGGCAGCTGTTGCTGGAGAAGAAAGTTAAGATTCGTCATTA